TCTGAATTTATTTCATCAATTTAATCAAAAAAAAGTAGTCAGAACTTTTTCGTACGTTTACAAAAAAACTAATTCATTTAGAAAGAAGGTTTTTTTATACGCGTTTAAATGTTATTCAAGGATAGATATATTTATAAAGAGAGCTTTTAAGTTATATGAAGAGCGATCGATCCAACACAATTGAATTTTCAAAAGATAATATAATCAACATTTAGTTGGAGATGAAGTTTTTAATAAAAATCAAAATAATTCAATGGAAATTTATTTATATGCTCAAATCTGAATACTTTCAATGTATCACATAGACTATACAATATATCAGTGAACTATCACATCACTCATATCGAACAAAATCGGTTTTTAATATCTAAATAGAGAATAATCAGATGATTTGTTTGATTAAACAAGAAAACAGAATACTTGTTCAAAATCAAACACACTTGAATTACGTTTTTCGAATGTCTATAACACAAAGTACAACAACATTTCGAAAATCTCTCTTTTTTTATTCTTCCTCCATTCTTGATTGATTATAATTTGTAATTCAATAGATAGTCATATTTTTCTTCATCAATGTGAAAATGATTCAAACAATTGAGGTTTATATCTATGTAGAATAGTTTTAATGGAGAGTAAAATATTTTATTTATTAAATAAAATAAAACAAACAGTTTCTTAGTATTCCAAAATCGCCTAAATATTTGTTGATCATAACAACATATTCAAAACGTTTTTTTTTCTCGATAAAAAATATTCATTCAGTAAATGTTTCCCATATTTTTCTTTCATTCATATGTTGCTATGATATTTTATGTATGTAGAAAAAGAAACTATAGAAATAGAAAACTGATAAAATCATCTAGAGTTGTTATAATGGTAATAATAGACACTATGTTGTTTCACAAAAACCGAATTGCATATGAATAAAACAATAATGACAACAACAAGTTAACTTTTTTTAATATAAAACAGAATCTCCATGATTACACTAGAAAAACTAAGTTGGTGACATGTCTTTTCTTTCTTCTAATATTTTGTCGAAGAAAAATAGAAGAAATATTCTTTCAGAGTTTGGATATAACATACACAACTTCAAGATAAATAATTATTTTTGATAAATAAACATTTTTTTTGCTTCAAATTCTAATGAGAATGGATTGTCTCCTAAAGAATATCTTATACACTAATATATTGACATTTAGAAATGCTTGTTTTATCTCCTTCGTTCAAGCCAGTATCAATCTGAGTGTATTGATTATATCCATATTCTTATTGTGATAGAGAAAAAGCGATTAATAATGGTTGCGTGAATAATACAGTTCTAATATTTACTGTATGATATTAAATATGAAGTAGTTATGGACTGCCATTGAAGAATAGAGATAATAGTGATACCATAAATCATAATTACAAGTTTAAAAAATACAATATTTCATCGTCTAAATGCTCAAGTGATTGATTGGAGATCGTTTAGAATACAAATATCATTTATTGCCATATTATACAACTATTTGTTTAATACAATAGATCTACATCAGCTCGTGTATGCAGCTGATAGAATCAAATATTGCTAAGCAGAAAAAAATATCTGATAAATAAGTGAAACATACATTAAATGAGAAAGACATTATTTTCTCATTTCCTAGTTTTATAATAAAATAAATATGATATATTCCCTCTCACGGAAGCAAGTGAAACACCTAGTTTTTGACAGTTAATTACCTAAAAAAACAGGATCTATAATGACAGCGGAAAACTATACATCATGTAAGTGACGTTGAATTGCATCAGTTTATTAAAGAACAAGTCAAACTGTTCTGAATCGTAGTGATCGTTTTTATTTTACATGAAGTAGGTGGTTATTAGATAAGAAGAAATTAACGACAAATCTAATGGATCGATTTTAGATAAGTTTCGCAATCAGATATTAAGATAACGAGAATATGGAGACATTTTGTCGATAAATTGTTATTACCCTCTACAGACTGATTTTGCTTGTTACTAAGTCATTATTTTGGTGTGGTATGGATATGAAATACCATCAATATGTATATCCATCTAACTGTCTCATCCACACCTGATCGATATTATTTGCTATGGTTTTGTTAGAAGATCAGCAGTAGTTCAAATTAAAAATACAAATAATATATTACATCGCTCTTTTATTTGTTCATTGAAAGAAGGCAACATCTACCGATGAAAAAATGTAAATATATAACTCACATGTTTTCGAAAAAAATATATTGTATAAATTTTGTTCAATAATATCAAAACAAATATGTAAAAAGTCAATTACTTTTACTTTAATAGTTAAACAAAGACAGAAAGATTAAAACTAGTTTATTTATTTTTATTCGTGAAAAAGAAAAGCGTCTATCAATTATTTTATTTTATTATTCTAGGATAAAATAAGAATATTAAATGACTTTATATGTGATCGTTATCCTTTATAGTAAAATTGAAAACAATTGCATATTATTTTTCATCTGATAGATAAATATGTAATTAACATATAGAGTTGATAATAGAGAAGTTTATTAGATGATGAGAAATTACTTGATCATTACTTTTGTTATGAGTGTAGTAGTTGAAACATCATCTAAATCATGTCGTTGGAGTTTATGTATACTGAACTATTGCAGGTGTGAGTATTGATCTTTTCTCAAACACATCTACACCGATGCCCTTATCTATATTCGCTCTCGCATCTAAACTCATCTACCCCTTTTGACAATTTGTCACCATCTTTTCCTGAGGATAATATCGTATTTCGGCATATATACTATTTCAGTCTTTTCGATCACGATTAATTGATAGCAATTTTACTCTATGCTCTTTCTCAGAGATGATTATTCGTTTTTTAAAATTGAATGAAATGGAAATGCCATCTAGTTGATTTTTCGAACACAAACCAATGACAAAGCATAAATGAATAGCTCAGTTCATCTTTTTATTGTCAAATAACTATAACAAAATTCTAATACGAGAAAAAAACAATAGTTTCAATGATTTATTCGATGAGAAAATCCGTCTAGAAATAAAAATAAATTTTTCATTTCTATTTAATTAAAATGAAGACAAATTTTTCCTTTTATACAACATCCCATTATTTTTTTTGCACAAGTATCATATTTCAAATTTATATATATATATGTATATATATATATATGTATAATGTGTAACTTTTTCAAAAAGAACAAAAAAAAACAAAGCAAAGATACACAATAATACAGTACGAAGAAGAACACATCAATATAGAAGAGTTAAGGACCAGTTTAATATGGAAAGAAAAACAAGAAAAAGAAACAGAAACAGGCAAAGAAGAAAAGAAAATTCGATCATCATCACCAAGCAGCTAAATGAAACTAGGCCAGAAAATGTTAATGTTGGTTATTATCTGACACAGAAAAAAAGGAACGAATTTTGCATATTCTCTTCTTCTTCTTTTTCTAACGAATATTTTTAACATTATTGTGCATGCTGAGCACATAGCTGCTGCTAGGGTGATATATAAAGAAGAGAAGATAAATAAATCGGTATGACAAAACATTTAAAAAAAAACAGAAAAATGATATTTTTTTTATAAGTGTTTATCTTCTTCTCGTTCTTTTGCATGTTTTTGACACCGGAGAAGTCTGAAACAAAACAAAACAAAATAATAATTCAATTGAAATTATGAATTACTTCTGAGTTAAGATATTTCGTTTAATTTCAAGTACACGAAAATTCGATTTCAATGCTTTTAATTCCGTAAATGCTGTTGACATTTTAGCACTATATCCATAATAATCATCAAAAAGTTTTAAACACTAAATAAATAAATAATTGTATATAATGAAAATCATATATTATCTTTACCTGTTTTTCTAATTGGGTAGATGGCCAATCAGTTAAATGTCGAATTAATTCAGCACGATAAAATTTTTGAATTTCATGATCACGTTCAGCTTTTGAAATAGTCGGTGTACTTGATTCATTTTCATGACTAAACGAAAAGATTCAATGATGAATCGATTTGTTGATTTCTAAGTTAGTTTTTTCAAATAACATACGCGTGTGTAGATTCTGTACTTGTCAAAGTTGAAATAGTTGATCGAGTCGTAGGAGTTTTTGTATCATTTCCTAAATAATTAAAATAATTTATATTAAAATATAAACGAATTCTTTTTTTTACCATTTATAGGTATTGGATTAGTTTCAGAAGATTTCGATGGATTATCAGACATAGGAGCGGAAATTGAAGTAGCTTTAAAATAAATAAATTGAGATTTATTATTTATAGAAAAAAAAAGAAGAAGAAAGATTTTACTCGACTCTGATATAGATGAATGTAAAACATTTCCATTAATTTCATTTGTATTATTAGTATTAACTATTACTGATGATGATTCTTTACTACTTGTTGACGAAAATGACATTCGAGAACTATCATCACCTTCAAATAAATAACAGAGAGAAAAAAAAACATTGAAAATAATAGTTAATTTTAAATTAACCTGGACTAGGGAGACGATTATGTGAATTAATGGATAATTGTTCATTAGATTCTTTAACTGAATGATTTCCATTTTGATGATTATTAGAATGTTCTGAAGTTAATTTAAGATTTGTATTTTGGGAACAAGTTCGTTGAGAAGATGATTCTTCCATCTTATATCGAGTACGAACTGTAGGTGAAATATTTGTTGTCGATTCTATATGTATATAATAAAATAAGAGAATATATTTTATAAAATAAAAAATAAAACCTTTTTTAATTCGATTTGTCGAAGATGTGGATGATGTACTGGTTCGATTGGATTCATCTGCTGGCCATCCTTTAGGTTTTTCCCATTGAGATACTTCAGTTTTACAATTATAAAAATATGTTTTGCCTATATATATATAGAAAATTTCCTATGTTTTTATTTTAAACAATTAATCCAAACCTGTTGAACTTTTGAATTCAGACCAATCACCGAATACACGAAGCGGTTTTTTTGTCTAAATAGAATTTTGTCTTTTATAGATAAAAATTTATTTAAAAGAATTTTTTATACATCTTTAACAGCCTTTTTTTCACCATTTTGACGCTGCTGTTGAGATGACGACGAATTTGATGCAACTCGATTATTTGATGAAGCTAAATAAAATAATATAAAAATTGTTTTTCGATAAAAGAAAACAAATTACATTGAGTTCGCATAAATTTTCGATGATTTGATGTTTCATCATTATATCCATGTGTTTGTAAATTCCACTCTCGTTTATTTGACTGAAAATTAACAAAAATTCATTTATACATTAATTTATTTCATTTAATTTATCTTACAGAATAACCGCTACCATCTTTTCGGTTATCATAAATCTGCGTATCTGTTGTTCTATGTTTACTATCGTGCATCGCCGATACCCAACAGCAAGTGCATTTGGATCGTCAAATACGAAACCAAATAAGCACACACACACAAAAAAAGATTTTTTTGACGATGAAATTAATAAACAATATAGAAAACTTTATGAATAAAGAATTGTTTTTGTATCATAGACATTTTTCATAGATGAAATCGAAATAAACAAAAGTAAATATGTTTTGACAAAAAAAAAGAAATTTATATGATTTTTCCTATGTCGTCTTTCATCATTGATTCACTTTTTTATTTATTGCATCCGAATAAATATCTAAACACATCTATGCATTAGAACATCATTATAGAGGTTCGTTACTATGGAAACAATATAAAAAATGAGAATCGATCGTATACATACATTGCAGTTATAAACGAAAGAAACGACATAAAACTATGTCGCATATGTAAGTCAATATATCTATTTTAAATTGATGTTAATTTTAATTAATTTTAGTTCGTATAATAAACAATGGCAAGATGCACAACTTGCCATGGCCGATATGCTGGCTATCGAAACACCAGCACAACCACGGGCACCAGAAACCGTATGTTACGATAATGTATTTCATTATATATAAATTTGTTTTTACTTTATTAGGATATCAATGCAGCCTTTCAATTAGTAGCTACTATGTTTGTGAAATACGTACAAATATTTCGAAAATTAGAACAATGTTATGATCAAGTAGTACATCCACAAAAAAGACGATTAATACGAGTTGTTCTTGATGGTTGTATGGGAAGACTGCTTGAATTAAAACATGAAATGATTACTATGGATTATTCAGAATATCATTATTTTGATGATATTCTTGCAGATCTTAAATTAACACCAGTGAGTCTTTCTTCAATCATAATATCTGAAAAATAGTTTTATTTATTAGAATGATCTTGAAATTCCAATTCCAAATTATTTCGTACTTGAACGTGCTCAAGCAATTGAAAAACGTGAACGACTACTTGGTCAAATTTTAGCTCGAATGACATTAGATAATGAAAAACCTGATGGTACCACTACTATGTCAATTGATGATGCTATTCGAATAGTTCAAACTCATGAACGAGCTCGTCAAGGACGATTAAGAGCTAAACAAATACGTGATTTACGTCTCAATGATCAACGTGCACGACAACGTGCAAATATGGGAGATTCAAAAATGGATAGAGGGTTAGCAGCAACAATCATTCAAAAATATTATCGTCGTCATGTTGTACAAAAAGAAGCAAAAAAATTTCGTGATGAAGAATATATGTTTTTAGGAATGGTAAGATTTGTTTTGATATAAAAATAAAAAATGAACGCTAATATTTTAGGCAATGCCAACATTTCATAAAGATCCATTAAAACGTTTGCATGCTGAAGTTCGAGCACATGAAGATGAAAGACGAAAACGACAAGAAAAACATGAAATAAATTATCAACAATCATTAATAGCAACACGTGAAAAAATCAAACAAACAGAAGGACCTGATATGAAAGAACGTTTACAAGATCAAATTCGTCAATGGTTTATTGAATGCCGGTATGAATAAAATTTCTTTTCTACTATTTTATAATATTCTTTTTCGTCTATAGAAATGTTTCTAAAAAATTTCCTGATTTTCCCGATGAAGATGATGGTGGTTCGAATAAAATTTTTGAAAAAAAAACTGTAGCTGAAGTACAAGCAGATCTTGAAGCTGTATGATTTCTATATTTTATTTTATTAATCAATATAATTCATTTTTAGAAAATGGAAAGCAAAGGCAAAAAAGGAAAAGGAGATAAAAAAGGTAGTTGAGGTTTTCTTTAGAATTTCTTCATATCTATTTCTTTTTAGGCAAGAAAGGAAAGAAGAAGAAAGAAAAAAAAGGTAGAATCTTTATCTTTCGAAAAAATATCAAATAAAATTAAATGATTTATTTAAGGAAAAAAAGGAAAAAAAGGAAAGAAGAAGAAGAAAGGAGTATGTAGTTTGAAATAAATAAATAAATATATTGTACGTATTTTCAAAAGGATGATGATGAAGGTTGGACATTACCTGAATCGGAATTTGTCACTGGAATGATTAAACCATCAACCGAAACATATCAAAGTTAGTTTAATTATAAATTTTCTCAAATTTAATTGATTATTATGTAGATTTTTGGGAAACACGTGATGAAACACATAATTTCGAACAAAATTATGATAGTGAAATAGTTAAAGAAGAAAAACGATCAGAAGTTGTCGAAGAAATACGTGTTGAAGTAGATGCATTAATGCGTGAAGAATTGAAAAACTTAAAAGCTGTTTGTATTATCCATTATTTGTTAATCGTATGAATAAATCTTATTTTTAGGCAATTGATAAAACTAAAGAAAAAAAGAAGAAAAAGAAGAAGAAGAAGAAGGTAAGATTTCCATATATCGAAATTATTAAATAAGATATTTTTTCAGAAGAAGAAGAAGAAGAAGAAGAAAGAAAAAGATTTAACACCCGATCGTACAATAGAATCTTTGTATGAAGAACTTGTTATGAATCGTATTATAATTCGTCCACCAAAAGTTACTCTAAATGATTTTATTGGTGATTTTAATTATCTACCAAGTTTAATTCGTCAAGCTAAACATGAACCAATGCCAACAATGTCTGATGCTAAACAATTAACTGCATTATATGGAATCTTACCATTAGGATCAGAAAAAGTTCATGAAATAGCACCACAAATAAAAGGTCTTCTCATTTGTGGACCTAAAGGATGTGGTAAACATATGTTACTTCATGCAATTTGTAATGAATTAGGTGCGAATTTATTTGATATATCACCAAAAAATATTTTTGAAACATATCGTGAAAAAGAAGGAATAAAAATGCTTATGCATTTATGTTCAAAAGTAAATCGATTAAAATAATTGTCTTCTTGTTATTGTTATTCATTTGTATTTCAAGGTTGGAAAAGCTTTACAACCAACTATTATTTTTATTGATGATTGTGACAAATTATGGAAAAAGAAATTAAAACCTGAAGAAAAACAAGTATGTCAAAAAAGATAAAATTTAACAGATTATTCTTTATTTAAATATTTAGTTTGAACCAAAACGTTTAGGTAAAGCTTTACCAAAATGGCTTAAATTAATCAAACCCGGAGATCGCGTTTTATTAGTTGGAATAACAAATGAACCATATCAGGGTACTGTTAAACCAATGATGAAAGTATTTCCACGTTGCATCTTATTACCACGTCCAGAATATGGAACTCGACTATGTAAGAATTTTACTTTTATGATAGAAACAAGGTCATTCTAACGTTAGCTTTCAATTACTCTAACATAATGAAAGAGTAATAGACAAAAGATTGTACCGTTAATAATTAATGAGAAAATTTAACGTATTCTATTTAAATTTTTTTAGTATTATGGAAAACGTTGATACCGAAATATAATGGTATAATAACACCATCACTTGATGTAACATCATTAGCAAAATTATCTGATACATATTCATCCGGTCATATTCATGATACAATTGTTGAAGTTTTAACTGAACGACGTCTTGCTAAAATGGCAAAACATCCATTACAAGCAAGTGATTTTATAACTGGTTTAGCACATCGTAATCCTATATATAAAGATGAAGAAACTGCCTTCAAAGTATATTTTATTTGATTTTAAAAAAGAAAGCTTAAATGTTTTTTGTTTTTTTCTTTCTTATAGAGTTGGTGGAAAAAGACACCAACAGGTAAAAAACATGAACGATTTTTAGAAGAACAAGAATCAGGTGAAGGTGATGGTAAAGGTAAAAAAGACAAAAAGAAAGGTGGCAAAGGTAAAGGTAAAAAAGGCAAAAAAGGCAAGAAGAAGAAATAATAATCATCATCAATTTATTAATTATTTGTACACGTTTATTCTTATTAAAATAAATTCTTTATGTGCCATTAAATAACTTTAGTAATATTTATTTTCTTATTCAACAAAATAAAAAAACAAATGACATTAAGAGATTGTATCTGACTAGACTTTTTCATGTAAAAAAAGGTTTATGACGACATGATGTTTTTACTGATTACGATTGATCGATTGTCATCAAACAACGATAGGCACATGATGAGTATGCAATGTAATCGAGCGAATAACGATGAACTTGAACGATAATCACCGCCACATTCCAGTCATACAGTTTGTATGTGTGTATGTGCGTGTGTGTGTCTCATCATCTACCATTATTCTAGCGCACGATTAAACACATATATGATCATTCATTTCATCACGCTCATCGTTACAATCAATAACTAAATGTACTCTGGTCAATGAGATTCAACTAAAGAAAGACAAATCTTCAATTGTTTCTAATAAACAATCATCAATCAAATTGATCTATTTATCACCAAGGAAAAAAAACCCGATGAAGAGAGAAAAAAAAACATCAGTTAAATACACATGAGTAACAACTAAACAGAAAGCTTCTTTTACTTTTTTAATTGACTACCAATGTAAACAACATTTCGTATGCTCTTTTGTTTATTGAGAAAACAATACATTTCCTCGAACGAGCTAAGATACAATGTATTATAATAGCTGTTATTTCTTAATTGAATTGACAACAAGGCGTTGTCAAGAAATCACATTAGACCAAATAGATAATATAAGTCATTGTATATCCTACACAATTTTGTGACATACGTATATATATATTTATATAAATATATATATACTAATATATGTTTTTTGTTTATTCCTCATCTTATGAATGAACTAAAGCACCATGTATGAAAAAAACAAAAGGACCCTGAACGTAAAAAAAACGAAGAAAAAGGCCCTTCTCTAAAAGAAGAGAAAAAAAATGAAACAGAAATAAACGAATAAACAAACAAAATGATCGAAAAAAAATGAACAAAAGAAAAACAGTCTTGACCAAAGACAAAAAAAAAGAAACCAGGGTTTTCAACGAGGATTAACAAAGAAAAACATACTGTTTACACAAAAAAAGAAAAAAGAAGAAATGGCGGATTGATTTTTGGCATAAGGTTTCAAGGAAGACACAGGGAATATTTAGCTGCAAAGTAGCGCTAGACTACTATTGCTATTACCATTTCCTTGTTGTATTCTATGTAGTTCTCTAACAGCTACATCAACAAGAAGTTGAAAACCGGCAAGATCACCACCTGTACTACTACTACTACTGCTACTACTACTACTACTAGTTGATGTTGTCAATGAATCAGATGAACAAATCAAACGTGTCTGTTGTTGCTGTTGTTGTTGTTGTTTTGAATCAGTAGATATTAGATTAATTACTGTCGGATCACGAATAGATTTAAGTACAACATGATGCCTCGTTGTCGTCGTCGTCGTAGGTGCTGTCGTTGTAGCACTACAACAAGGATCAGTAGAAGATGATTTATCTAATTGTTGTGATAATTGTTTATTGAGCACATTTGAATTATTTGTTAGTATTAATGAAGGTGATGAACTTCGTTCGACAATAACATTTATTTTCACGGGTGGTATTGATGATGAATTATCTATCACTGTTGTTGTTGTTGTTTCAGTTGAAGTATTTTCTCCACTTGTTGAACAAATAGCTGATGATGGTGATGAACGTTTTTGATCACGAGAAAAACGTCTTGATATAGTGAATTTTTTAGGATCAGTACCTTCTTTTTTTAATAAATCAGGTAATATACGTCGTCGAGCATTAATAAACCAATTACAAACTTGATTTATTGATAAATCAGCACGACGAGATAAATTAGCTTTTTCATCATCTGTTGGATAAGCATTATAACGATGTTCGTAAAGCCAATTTTTTAATATTCGAACCTATAATTAAAATCATAATGAAAAATATGTAAAAAAAAGAGAAAAACAAAATAAAATTTCTTTATCTTACACTATCTTTAGGTAAATTAGCTCGTCGTTTTTTTAATTTTGATAATGACGATGATGAATTAGTTAAATTAATATTTGTTGTTGATGATGATGATGATAATATTGAATTTGATGAACTATCAAGATCACAATCAGAATCTGTTTGTTCACTAGGACGATTTCGAATTTTTTCTTGACGATGATAATGATATGGTAATGTATGTGCTGAATTCATCATAGATGAACGATGTGGACTAACAATAACTTCTGCTGAATGATGGTAGATAGCCGAAGAATAAAATAGATCATGATGATTACAGTTTGTTGTCGATGAAGAAGGAGAAGAAGAAGAAGATGATGATAATGATGATGATGATGAAGAAGACGATGACGATGAAGATGAAGGTGGTAATGTTGTTAAAGTAGTAGATGGTGGTGATGAAGAAGAAAGATAGGAAGATGATAGTAGATTTGTCATTGTTTGATAGTGTGGAATTTGTTGTGAGTTATTACTAGCATATAAATCGTTTGACTGATCAATCATCGAAAATGATAATAGCGAATACTCTAAAATCAAAAAAGAAAAAGGAAAGAAAAAAATGAACTCAATTGACGTTTATATCGAATAATTGAACCGTATAATAGACGAAATCAAGAAAATGGCCTGTCACAATAAATAGGTAAAATCAAATGTCATTACTCGATTAACGATTATCAAATAGGTAACAATGACAATGCACAATATATCGTGATTCTAAGACCATGTTAAATTATATGTCAGGTGCAGTGTGTAACATTACAAAAAAAAAAAGTATAGAAAAAATGTCTCTCTTATCTTACACTATCTGAGAATGCGTGCTGTGTATGTCGTCCGACATGTTTCTTCTTAGATTTTTTCTCGTTTTTTTTTATAGTCGAGAATCAAATACAGATGGTTCTTATATTGTCTTTCTATCTTTTTTCTTTTTTTTGTTAAATTAGTAGTACTAAAGAGGCAGAAATAGAACAGAATGACTTCAATAAACTTTAGATTTCATAATTACCATATGATTATTTCTTTAATTGTACGCAAGAATAATAAAGAAAAAAATTTTCCTTGTTATTTCCTTTCAATAAAAGCTCAGCTGATGGAAGAAATTACGTATTTTATTCTCTTCTTTCTTTTTTGCTTTCTTATCAATAAGTATGTATAGTGCAAAAAATGAAGATAAATCAAGGCGTTCTCTTTTCTAATGTTCTTTCTTATCAAGTTTGTATCGAAAGAAGGCAGATGTCATCTCTTCGAAATTCATATGACTGCACATCTTTTCCTTATTGTCCTAATGATAATAGTTAAGAAGGGAGTATGAAACTTGCTCGATTGTCATTAACCCATTATTTGACGTACCATTCGATGTAGTCCTTCTATTTTTCTTCTCTTCATTGTTATTGTTCTTCCATTCTCTCTTTCTCTTTCTTTCTCTCGTTTTTTTTCTTTCTTTTCTACCACCAGTAATCATCATCATCATCATTATCATCATCATAGTGTATCATACGATCGAGAAAAGATAAAAATGTGTGACATCACCTTATTGGATGTCAAAATCAAAACGAGAAAGAGAAGAAAAAAATCGATACACGAAAAAATGATTAATTCAATGCGTATGATTTCGATCAAATGAGAAAACGAATAGGTGAAAATCACTGCCTTTCGTCTTGCGTCTAACAATGAGTCCCATTGATCATAATCATCACATCTACATACACACATGCACACACACACACATACATCTATCTATCTGTATATATATATACATATATGTATATATGAAGATACGAATTATAGGGAAGAAGAAATGACAGAATATGTGTGAAAGACAATCTATCGAAAGATTACACGAGATAGATTCAATTCCATTTTTAAATTAAAGTCTTAAGTACAAGCCTTGAGCTTTTATATTTATTATATGGTTTCATTTATCTTCAATATATATATATATATAGACGATGAGTATAAATAAATATTTCTAAGTAGCCAAAAAGAAAATCTTTCAACACTAATTACGCGTGTGCAGTCAAACAGACACCTCAACAGCTGTCTGCAGATATCCATCATCATATCATCAGCATCCGTTAAAGACTAACGAGGAAGAAGCAACAGCAGAAGAAGAAGAAAAAGCTACTTGTTTCAATATCCTATCATCAATATCCGTTAAGAGAAGAAAAAAGCAAGAGAAAAGTTTGCCTTGGAATGTGTATTATATATATATATATGTCCTGTTAAAGATGATTGATGAGAAAAAAAGAAGAAGACGAGATAACGTTGATAGAATAAGATCCATTGTTTTACTCAGCAGGAGATGAACTATTTCTAGGTTGATCTCTTTTTCGTTGCTTAAAATTAGTCGATCTGTCAATCAGATTTTATATTTCCTGCTGAGATAAAAGAAACATATAATCAAATAAGTACAGGTGCTTGTAAACCACTGGTCAATTGCATATCTTTTATAAAACAAAATAAACTTACATTGTGTATGTCTGTCTATTGTCAAGTCCTGTTATCTACTACTGTAAGCATGTCTATATCTTTCTTTCTTCTTGATTTTTTGTCTCCCTCTTAAGTGCCTTCACTTTCTCTCTGTTTGTGACGCTGTCTTTTATCGTTTTTTTCTTCTCATTCTCTCTCTCTCTCTTTTTCAATTGGATTATGATTACCTTTTCTTTTGTTAACTCGTTTAAGAAAAAAAAAAAGAATTTGTCACATTACTACTTATTTTATTGTATCCAATAAGAAGAAAGAATTTGTTGTTTTGAAATGCTCGAAAGAAATTAGATAAAGTAAACACCGACACACTTCAATTTCGATCTATCCGAAGGTATAAATTAAAGGAAGGTTTCTGATATATATACGTCAAGAATAGAAAAAAACGAGAGAAAGACACACACACACACTCACTCACTTGATCGAAGTGCGAAGAAGCGAAACGAGAACGACGTACGACAACAAAAGATTGCAACTGTGTAACGACATGTGACGAACCCGTCACAGCTGAAAAAAGAAATCGAAAGAAAGTAATATGAAAATCGAAAAAGGTTTAGATTTGCACATAGACATAGTCAATGATATACGTCAAAATTGTCAAGTTAAAATTGACGTATTACATAGATAACATGATTACAAGGACAACAATACAACAAATATCATAAACAAAAGAAAACAAATACGAAATAAAATAAAAATAAGAAAGCTATTGCTAATCATTCGAATGACATAATTTTCCTTCGCCTTTCTATTTACTTATTATTTTCTCAATTAGAGAGAGAAATCTATCGTTAATTGTATATGTTTTTTTTCTTTCTTTCTTTCTTTTCGATTAAGAAAAGAATGAAAAAAAAAAACTTAAAAGAATAAATAAAAAATATAACTAATACACATTTTCCGAATCATTTCTCTACCTTATCCATCATGCACGTCAATTCAATGGATCACTTAAAATGAATAGAAGAAGAGAAAAAGCGAAGGAGAAGATGATGAAAATGATGATGATGACGATGATAGTCGGTCGATCGTTCGTTCGCGACTGTTAAAAACTATTATGTTGAGAAAAAAAGATACAAAGGTTGTCTAGCTATCTATATTTATTCTCGTACGTGCGTTTCCCAACAGACCATTGATCCGAAATGTCACCGGTTGTCGTTTATGTATTGATTATAGAGAAATGATGGGAAAGGAGGTGATGGAGAAGGAAGAAGGCTATCCACTCATTATGTCACTTCTCATCCTCTAGCAAACGAGAGAAAAAAAACCAACACCACAAAAGTAAATACATGAACACCCTTGGGGCGTGTTCAACTGTCCCTCTTATGAGATTGAGAGAAAAAGTGAAACGTCAATAGGAGTGAAAAAGAGCTCGCGGTAAAATACCATTTAACTTCAATTATAAGCTAAACCGGTGAAAAGTATACATACACAATATACAATAGACCTAATATTTTACACTTCGTTGCTTTTTTTTCTACCTATATACGATCAAACAACAATTCTGTCTAATGTACTCACAATATTTAAGGTAGTTTGCATTATATCAACAGACTATAGCTTCTCTTTCTTTTTTTCTCTCTTGTCTTTTCTGTTTCTTCTCCATATTCAAACTACCCTCTTGTCATCATTCCCACATTACTTATCTTCTTCCTACATAACTCAACTTCCTTTTTTTGTTGTCTATTTTACGTACTGACACATATACACATCACTATAATTGATTTGGGCCAATGTTAATTCACTTTTCATCAATAATAATTAGGAATAGAAGAAGAGAAGAAAAAAAAGAGAAACCACATTTTGATCAGCTGAATAAAAAAAAGGCACCATCATTATTATCATCATCAACAATATCGATCGTACCAGCTAATCGACATGACACATAGCGCGCACATCTTTACTCAAGCAAATATGTAACAAAAGCGAGCGCAATTTTTAACATTCGATTAGCAGCTGTTCCCCTCATCCTTTGCAATATTCATACAAAACAATGGTTCCTCAATTTAGCTGACTATGACTAGCCAGCTGTCATCGAACACGATGACGGATAAACGCGTGGCACACAGTCATTTGTGTTCTTTGACGCTTTTCTTTTTTCTTATTCTTTTTTTTCTTCTTCTGTCAACGAAATGTTTATATATATATACATGTTATTTGCAGTGTGGTTACATTATGATAAGATACGAATAACATCAAAATTATGTAAAAAAAAAGAAGAACAAGTGACAGGTTTTTGAAAGGTAAAAGAAGAAAAACAAACGAGTCATTTCATCTCGTCATTTTGACGTAACAAAAATACTCTTTCTATGATTAAACGTCACCATTGAATAACTTCCTTTCGTATTTGAATTAAACTTACTACTTTAAAAAAATTAGTATTTTAAGAAAAAAAGGGTTGAATTGACATAGTTATTATTATAATTATTTTTAATATACTAAAATGTTTTAAGACGAAGGTTAAAATAAAATAAAATCTATTGCCATATTGACAAGATATTTATATCGTATGGTGCTACTTGACACCAAAGTATTTCTTTTATAATCAATACAACTACTATTCAAGATGTTACCATTAACAAGTAAAACTATGAATTGATCATATTAATTTAATATTATCAATTGAGTCGAATAATGATTTCATTCAAATCTCAATACATATCATTATCCAATTTAAGTATCAGGTGCTGTACTTATTGATAAGACAACAGATGATAGACTTTTTAGTTTATTAGCTACATATAAACTAAATGAACGTCGTCTATATGTATGTATGTGTGTGTGTATATATATATAAGGAATGTGTATGTGAAACTATATCTATAAATATTTATATGGTAATAAAGAAACATTCTGACTTGATTATTTTCTTGTGTATGTTCATTACACATTTGTACTTTCAATAACAACAACATCAGATCGAATATAAAAATAATAATCAAATATTACTATAGAAAAATCGTTCTAGTAAAGTCAAATTTTTTCGATATTTCAAATTATATTTAATCATTAATGAATGGATATAGAATAACATAGAAATATGTATATCATATATACATAAGGAGAACGAAAAGAAAAAAACAATATCTAATAAACAATTACTATTAATCGATAGTAAAAACATTTGCTTTTTCAATGTAATTACCATATAAGAAAAAAATGAATAACAATTTTATTCATCGAGGTGCACTTAACTCAATTTAGTTTTTATATTTATATTATATACTACTTACTCTTCTCCTTTTCTTTCTCTCTCTCTCACGCACATATACATATTCGTTTGTTACGCTCATCAATATGTATCCTCATGAGTATGATCTTTTAGACACCACCACTACCACGGTAATATGCTAGTGATGATTGCATCAACATCAAACAACGAGAAGACAAGGGAAGAGAGAAAATAACATAACATTCTACTTCGAATAAAACAAAGAGAGAACAATAAAAACTAGCTATTCAGTGATAGATATGATCTTTCTTGCTTCTCAATTATTTTTTTTCTTGTGCTTCATATGTACAGATTCTACGACTATATTGGCACCACTGTGCACAGCCTTAACCTACTATTATCAACGCTTCCAGCAGTAAGAGGCAAATCGGAAAAACATGTATCTCTCGGCAACGTCATCATCGGTTGAAATAACAACATACACAAACAAGAGAGATGAAATAGGGAAATAAAAAGATGTGACAAACAGACAAGACAATCGTCTGTCAAATGCTTCTTGTATAAACGCAAGAAAAAGAAGAAACGATAAACAATCAATAGAGAAATGTATAAGTTGAATTCTCAAAGACGAGATTTGACATATATATGACAACATCTTATGAATGACAGATAGATAGACAGAAGCAAAAGTTTTCTTTTCAAACTTTATAACAATTATATCGTTTAGTGTAAATAGTATTATCTCATTAAAGGGCACGTCTGTTATTACTGTTCTTGCTTTGACAGCAGTCAAATTCCCATCGGGTATATGTAAGAAGCAAAAGGATTCTTTTTCTATTACTAAATAATAATGACCAACACTGATCATCAAAACTTAATGCTGATATAAGAAGAAAGACAATGGAAGTAGTTTATTCAGCTGTTATCTCTATGTTTATATATACGATCATTCAAATACTTTGTCTACTGATTTAATATCGCAAAATAGTGTTGTTGTTGTTGTTGTTGTGTGATCTTAGTCTTTTATATAAAAAAATTTTTTTTTTTGACGACAATAAACGATGTGTCAAGATCGTCGAATAAATATGCATGTGTCGAGTTCTCAGCATGGGTAAATACCACGATCTATCTCTTACATGGTCATTAGAAATCTTTCTCTGTACGATTTGCTTTATCAGCATGTAGCCGAAGCAGCTGTCATTTTTCGAGTTTTTGTCTTACTTGAAATTTTTGTTTTTTGATCGTTAATATTTTGTTGACAATGCCAAATAGGTTCGGATAGACAATAAGTGTTTTTAGTAGTTGGCCATTTCGACATGCTAATAGTAGCTGCTTATCTATTTGACATAAGCGTGTGCGTGTGTGCGTATATAAGGGATAAACAACAGAGCGAAAATGAAGTGATGAAGTATATGCCACAAACACACGCCGACTGAAATCAATATACGCACGGACAAACAGAAAGCTATAAAAAAAAATACACACACAATAGTGGGAGAGAGAGAGAGAATGATAGTGATGTGAGAGGTAGTGACGTGAAGTAAACGAAAAAGTGAAATGAAAGAAAAGTGAAGACAGAGAAAGAGGGAAAGAGAGAATAGCGACTATTACGATAAGATACGAAAATCGACGTCATAAGAGCGTGCACGAGGTACACACATATATGTATATGTATATACACTTATACATATATGTATATAAACTGATCTATAGACAGACAACCCTTGTCAACTGTTCATTGACACTAGTTTGACTATCGAACGATAGACAAATCGAGGTCTACAAGGACGTATATATAACTCAAAATTTTTTTGAAAATTACATCATAATTTGAACTGTCTATTATTATTGTTATCAAAAAATGAGATATTCATAGATTAACAAAAGAAAAAGTTCATTTTGATTATATCAATCTACTAATAGAGAAAAAAAATATATAAATTTCTAAAACTTTTCTTCTATCATAAAAATAATACATAAATATATATTATTTATTAAATGTGGACTGTGTGTTCTTAATAATAAATCATGAAATTATCTCTTATCTATTGTTAATCATACATTTTTATGATTTATTATTTTGTTGATAGTTATAATAAATAAACATTTATAATTATTAGATAATAATAAATATCTTTCGAATCTTAAAGATGATGACAAATTTATTTGATTAGAATAATTCTTTATCTAATAGTTAAAAAAATATGGCGCATATTCTATAGAAGTATGATTACAGAACTTGACTGTTATTCAAATGAACAATTAAATAATTATCAAGAAATATTTTCATTTTTTGATCGTTATAATACCGGTGAAATATATTTGAATGAATTAGGTTTAATCATTCGATCAATTGGTTTCGATCCAAGTGAAATAAAAGTCAAGGAAATTCAAGAAGAATATATACAAAACGGATTAGATAAAATCAATTTCCAACAATTTTTACAAATATTGATTAGTTTTACAAATGAAATAGACGATGAAATCGATATTATTGAAGCATTTCGTATTTTTGATAAGGAAGGTCAAGGTATGATTGTTTTTACGATTAATGCTTTAATCGTTATCTGACGAAAAAAAGTACAAAAAAGAAATGGAGAAAATATGCACTTGTCCTGACTCATATGTATATATCTCACCATATTCGTTTTTTATTCGTTCTGTAATTTATATTGGTTAAAAATAGATTATGACGATAGAGATAAAAACTAGATTTATTAGAGCTAAATTGAAAACGATTATTTTTCTTTATTCAATCAGGTTTTATAATAAAAGAAGAACTTCTACATATAATGACACATCTTGGTGAAAAATTATCAATTGAAGAAGCTGAAGAAATGATGCATGATGCTGATATCTATTGTGACGGAAAGATTCGTTACGAAGAATTTGTTAAAATAATGACAGAATTAAGTTAATCTTTATTTAAATGTAATCATAATAAGATGTTATAAAAGTCGGTTAAAAAGATCCTCATAAATATGTCTTATATAAAAAGCAAACGATTCAATCCCTTTTTTTCTTTTCAATAATACGATAAGTTTTATTCTATAGATAAATATTTGTCTCGAACATCACAATGCAAATAATTTTATCAATGATAAATTTTGAGTCATTTATGATTATGAAATGCAATTGAAATTTGACAGACGAACATTAGCAAAGAATAAATCTTATTTGACTATTCTGCGAAAATAGTATAGCAGATAATATTGAATTACAATTAAATCAATATTATACTCAAAAAAAGTGTACATGACTTTTGATAAATAATATATATTGTATCTTTTCTTCATGCATCATATAAATATCTACTTGTATGATAAAGACTAGTGAGAATAATCTATTTTTGGCATTTTCATTGCTCTTCTACCAAGTACTTCCTTTTTTTTTTGCAAAATACATATGTATATATAGTTAAAGAAAAAACAGCTTACAATCTTCTTTTCTTTAACTAAACTTTCACAGATGGCAAAAAAAAATTTCCATATTCTACAATGCCGAACCATAATAAGGAATACAATCAAAAAAGACAGAAGAAAGAAAAAAAAAGTGAATACAATCATCTTTAACAGTCAGAGATTTCAATACGTATCGACGGACAAAAAAAAGAAAGTAAAGATGGAGAAGTTAGGAAAGCGAGCACCAGTTTTACAATCATACAAGAAGAAAAAAAACATGTATTTATATATATACTGTTTAGTTGTTAATGGCAAGACACAAAAGAAACATATGATGTTAATGCACCGGTGAAAAAGGCTAATATAAAAAAAAACAAAATGACATAATAACAAGAAAATCACCGAAAGTTTTATGAAACAACTGATCTGTAGGTATACAAAAGAAGATAAGAAGGAAGAAAATAGATATTTATACTTCAGCTTCATGTGAGGCATTTGCTTCTGAATCAACTTGATTTAATAAAACTTTTTTTGTTTGCACAGTTGTTACTTCAATTGTAGATGATGACGGTGTTGCTGCCGAAAATAAAGCAACAATTATTTCATATGTACTCATCATAATAGCTGTGTTCTAGAAAATATATTTCATAAATTAAAAATAATAGATATTTATATTATTGAATTCTTACTGGTATTTGTCGAATAAGATGCGTTAATAAACCTCGATAAAGTCCAGACATACTTTCTTCTCGTACAATTGTCTTGAATGTTTGAAGTAATGTACGATATTTAGTACCTTCTTCTCTTAAACGTGTTCGAATAACTTCATGAGGATAACATAGAGTACTTGCACATGATTTTGAACATGCAGCAGCACATAAATAGGATATAAAATTAAATAAATCAGGATCATCAGGAGAACGATTTTGATTTAATTGCATTAATTGTAATTGAGCTTTTATTTGTTCATAAATAACAAAATGAACTATGGTTTCTGATACACCAAGATATGATGCAGATATACCTTGATTTCATTAAATTAAATCGATTATTTCATTTATTTTAATTCATCAAATATACCTTTATAAAATCCTCGAATACCATTGGAACGATAAACACTTCGAATAACATCCATAGCACGAAGATTTCTAAAATATAAAATTTACGAAATATTATCTAGTAAAATCTTAATAAAATTCTTTTTAAATTATAATTAAGATTATTATCGATATCTACCCTTGATCAAGTTGAAGACGAGTTTTAACAAACCATAGTGGATTAGTACATGTAGACATGGCAATACCTGTAATAAAATAAAAGATTAGTTTATTGGATTGAAAAAAAGAAGAAAAACAAACAAATGAAATTTTGCATTTTTTTCTTTATCGCAATATTTCTCACAGCGGGACAAAGACATAACGTACTAGGTGTTCGGAATTGACTGTTTTTTTACCAGTTTTACCGGGAGTCCGTAAAACATGTTGGTCAGGAAATTATAATTTTGAAAGATACAGGGAAATCAGAACGAAATGCTCGACAATATATAAAGTATTGTCACGAAATCGAGTGACAATGTGGATGTGTAGCATGAGCGAAGAATGACTTATACATCTACACTCACTCTAACACTCTACTTGTTTTAAATCTTTGTCATTCCGAAGATTTTGTATGTTTTTAATATGTCGGGAAATCCTAAAAAAAACGTTGGTGCGTTATGTCTCCCCCCCCCCCCCACAGCGAAGCTGCATTTCTCTTCGGAATATAGTATTATATATCATCTGTATCACAAGATTTGGTATTAATTATTCCCAGTAGTAGTTTTAATCTTATTGTCCAATGAAATATCTAAATAGTTAATCTTACCTGCAGTAGCTGCAGATGTAACATGTACTAATGGCGTTTCTCGTTCCAATTCTTCGACTAGAAATGATTTTGTATTTGCATAAGCAAAAAAATAAATTGCTCTATAGAAAATGAAATACAATTAATCATAAGTATATTATTATTATTATTTTGATTCATACCGAGATGGTGCTACACCAACTAAATTTGGTATCAAACCTTTAAAAAGTCCAGGAATACCTTCATATCTTAAAATATATCTAAATAAATAAATAAATCAATAAATAAATTTTAAACAAAAAATATAAATTCATACCGAAACGCAGCCGTAATACTTGGACGTTTAGATTCTATTGATGCTGAAGAACGTATATTATATGCTACAGTATTACTCATAGACGAACTTAGATCAAGATGATTATGTCCTTTTAAAAATGTATTTTTTGATGATTGATAGCGCGTTTTGATTACTTCTAAGGGACATGTTAGTACTGCACCAAATGTACCAGCAAGTCTTTAAATAAGAAAATAAATCGAAAGATTAAATTAAAGAATAAAAATCTTACCCCCCTGCAAATAAATGAATATAAGAAGTGCGATTTGAATGTTGATGATGTTGTTGCTCTCCATCCGTATTAGTGTCATCGGAAACAGTTGTAGACATTACAGGAGTTATAATGACAAGTAAAATGAGAATAATGTGAGAAATATAATAATACCGATGACCACAATGTTCGATTACTGCCGAACATTGAGATATTAAGATTTTCAATCTGTTCTTTTTTTTATCAATATAAATTATTCGTTTGTATTCTTTGTTTATTAAACAAGTTTAATTGATTAATAAAATAGGTTTAGTAAGGAAAGAATAACAAACAATATTAAACATATCTAAAAATATTCAAAATCTACTATCTTTCACAACTAAATTCATTTCCTGTTTTTCCTCATATATATATATTGTTAAATTCTTTAACAGGAAAATGTTTATAGAACATTCTCACTAGTCAGTAAATAACATACAGAACCGGAAAGAAAATATAGAATAATTATTGGCTGTCTATCGTAAATTGTTAGTTAATTGTAAATAATAGAAATAAAAATTTCTAAATTTTCCGATAATATAATCTAAAAACGAAATTATGTCTGTCTGAACTAGTAAAATAAAATATATTTTGAAAAAATTCTAATTACTCTACAGGAAAAATGGGTAGTTGTGTAAAGATTTGTTGACTTTCTCACGATATGCACTTAATTGTAGTCGTGTAATGATAAAAAGTTTTAACAATCTTACTAACATACTGTTGATAAGCAGAGTGTACATTACTAAAATGATATGGATTGTCTGAATAAATATCTTTTTTTATTACAAAATAATCACAAGTGTTCTTCTTTCTGATAAAAGATCGTTTTATCTAAATTATCCTCTTTGGAAATCGAATTGGCCTATTAAGTAATATCTGACTTGATGGAAGCTGTACATTATTTCTTCAAGAAAATACATTAATTTGATGTTTAATAATTATCATAATTCAACCTTCATATAATAACCATATCGTAAAACCTTGATTTTCTAAAAAACAAAATTTTCTTTTTAATATATACTGAATAAACTTTCTAATTATTATCAATATATTCTCAAGTAAAAAAAAAGTGTAAGAAATGCAATTGCGTAGCAAGATTTTATTATATGAATATTTAAAGAAATATCATGCTCTCGAAGGATGACATAACTCTGACAATGATTAATAGAGCTCTCACAATATTTATGATTGTTTACAGGGAAAAAGAAAATATCGATTTAAAAAACTTATTTGTTCAAAGTAAAATTCTTAACGAAAATTTGTTTTTGATCAAGAAAAAACAGAAAAAATGTCTATTTTCTTTTTTTCTACTCATATGTAACTAGGCGATGTTTCTGAGTGGATAATTAAGATCGAATGAAATGCCTCCTCTTCGTCATTTGATAATCATAATAACAAATCATATTTTAAGATGAATCATATCCATTTGTTATTTATTTAAATGATCCGATTTACTTTTCCTTCTTTTTAGAACTTTCATAGAATTAAATGACATGACTTATAGTTCAAGAATAATTTTACCTTTTGCGTTATGGTCTGAAACACCTCCATCATTATCTGTATCATCATTGTTTATAAATTCCGCAAGTGATGATCTTATTACGGGTACAAATGATGGTTTTATCGTCTGTTGGAAAATCGTTGCAGATCATCAAAAAGTAGAATTTTTAATAAAATAAATATTGTTTTTCTTTTTAATAAGGAAATTTTTCATTAAGATCATTCCAAGATTAATGTTAATTGGTCATACAAATCAAGTATCATTTATTGTTGGTTCAACATTAAATCATAAACTCGATCAGTTTGTTAGTATTTCAGATAATGATGGGTATGTTGAATCTTCTTCTGGTTTTCTTTTAATTATCTAAATTTATTTTCTAAAGACAAATTAAATTATGGAATAATGAAGATGGTCGATGTATCGAACATACACGAACTAATCTTAAACATCGTTCAGTTCAAGTAAAAAATAATTTTTGCCTTTTTTTTCTATTTTCATTTCAATTCTTTTCAGTGTTTTAATTATCAATTAACAAATGAAAATTTTCTTATATGTTGTGGGTGTTATTCAGAAATTCTTATTTATGATATGCGTACACTTGAAATGAAATTTACACTTACACCTTCGCATGTTGACGGAGATTGGATATCAACATTTTTTATTTTACAAAAAGCGAATGCGCCAGGTTAGTTAAATGTTCATATAACGATATGGAGGCAAATGAGCGAAAGGCTATTCAGTGGAAATTTTTAGCGAAATAAAAAGAGAGAAAGGTAATTCAGCGAAATGATTTTTTTTTTATGAGGGTACGGCGAAAGGTGTTACGCAGTTGTGACTTTCGCGCTTTTGTTTTCGCTTAACGGACACCATATCGCCTCAGGGTTACCATGAAGATGGGAGGTCTTGAATTCTTGATTTTTCAAGCGCTGCGATCGCGGTAAAAATTCTAGCTCGACTGATTAATATAAATTGCAAGGCATCTTTTGAAAACTGGATATATTTTTAATGTCTAGACTTTGCTCTATTTGATGGAAAAGGAATCAACTTTCGAGCAGCTCGACATTTGCATCAGTCATTATATTTGAATATATTTTTTTAAATAGATGTTATTATTACTATTGGATTACTTGATAGTGGTTGTGTAAAATTATGGGCATTTGATCCTCGTACAGTAACATCGAATGTAAGAATAAATCTAGATTATTTGTAATCTTTATGCGAGATTTTGTTTTTAGACTGCTATTGAAGGTACAAGCGTAGGAAATAATAATAGTATTATACCAATTGATCTTAAAGAACATGAAAGTAAAGAAATTCGAACACAATTTGGTTCACTTATTGTACCTTGTGAAGAATGTCAAAGAATGATGCTTATTGTTCATGGTAAAGGTTGGCAAGTAAGTTATTTTTTGTTTCGTATATTTAAAGATACATATGATTATTATTATTATTATAGATTTTTGATGGAATTGATTTTACAGAATTATGTTCATATACAATGAATGATAAAGAAATGGTTAAAAATGAACATTGGATACATGGACATTTTCCAACATCAGATTTAGTTATACTTTTTTCAGCTCGAGGCTATGCACATGTTTTTCGACTTCCAGAAAAGTAATTTCGATAAATATTTAAAATATTTAATCAATTCTGATTTGTTTTTTAGTGCGACATTTGCAAATCCAAAATTTCGTTCCCAACATAATAAAACAGATATGCAATTACCACAATGGTTATGTAGATTAAATGTTGGAAATGAATTAGTAAGTTTGATAATTCACCCACTATTGAAAATATTCTATAAAATTTGTTTTTTTTTAGAAATTAGCTCAGACACCCATTTATTTTTGCCATACAAAATTAAAACAATGCCATGTTTATCGAGCTGATACTTCTGGTCAAATATCTGTTTGGAATATAAATTTAACACAATTTTCCGCAACTCATGGTAAAATTTATTTAATATTTTTTTTTCTTTGAAATTTTCGAATTATTTTCAATAGATATAATACCAACATGGACAGTTTCTTATGCAGATGTTTGGGCAGATGCATTAAAAAATGTTCATACTATACGAAGAGTTTTAAATGATGTAAAATTATTTTATCATAAATTCATTTTTAAATAAGTATTTATATTCTATTTTAGATATTACCAAAGGAAGTGAATAAATTAACAGCATCATGTCATATGATTACAATGGATCGTCTTGCATTTGGAACTGATACTGGACAAATTTATATAGTTCCAGCATTGAAACTTATTTCATATCTTTTTATAGATATTGATGCTAATAAAGAAAATTTTGGTAATGATTTTATTTTTATATATGTAAAAAACAATTCATTTTGAATTTATTTAGAAAGTCAAACACTTAGTGGTCATAATCAAACAATAACATGTTTAATTCATCCTCATAGTGAATATTCACGTTATGATATTCAACATTTATTAAGTGGTAGTATTGATCATTCTATACGTTTATGGGATTTATCAACTGGTACACAATTACATATGTTTACTGTTCATTCCGGATCTATTCTTATGTTTCACATTCCACCACCAATGCTTAATGTAAAAGTGCAATATTGTATATGTTCTATAGCTAATGATCATAGTGTAGCATTGCTAAATTTAAAAGAACGTAAGACTGTTCTATTAGCAAATCGGCAATCGTATCCTGTTGTTGGACTTCGTTGGAGGATAAATGATGATTTTTTATTAATAAGATGTTCAGATGGAAGTTTATATGTTTGGCAAATTGAAACAGGAAATCTTGATCGTGTTGCAAATGGTGTTTTAGCTGATGAATTATTTGAATGGTATAATGATCCAAGAATACTTAGTGCTACTGGTGATCTTCAAAATGATCCAATATCAACAGCAATGACATCAGCACATTATCTTCAAATACGATCAACTTGGAAAAGACGAGATTATGATCAAATTAGAAAATTAAATAGAAAATTTGGTATGAAAATAAAAAAATCATGTATTTAGTCTTATTTTTCGTTTATATATATATCATTAAGGTGGTCCACGTCATGATTTAATGGGTACATCATCATTTAAACATACAGAATATCGTCTACCAATTGTAATTCAACAATTTCATACAAATCTTGGCGATGATTTATCAATGCTTATTCTTTTTGATTTACTTCAATTAATCAGTAGGTTCTATTTCATTGATAAATTTATTTTCGCCTTTACTTGATTGCTTTGCTTATATAATCTATCTCTATATTCATGCTAGGTCAAATAATTGTATTCGATCTTGAAAAACAACACGCTCAAAATCCTAGTAATACTTGCTTTTTCTTTTAATTGTGTGCATGAATAAGTTTTAGTTTTTCAAAAAAATTCTCTTCTATTTCTCTAATATAATTTTTGCTTTTGAATAGAATATATCGAAATAGCAAATAAAGATACTCGTGCACAATTAACTCAAACATCGAAATCATTAGCTATGGTATCGAATTTTCTTGTTTCATTACTACATCCATGGTCATTTGATAAAAATATGGATAAAGTTTGTCAAGAACGTCTTCAACTTAATCGTACAAATCGTTTCTTATCCTATGGAATATTAAGTAAGAATGATCATTTAACTATTGTCTTACCAACATGGCAAAAATATTTAAACGATAATGTACCTGAAACATTTTTACCTAATCCAACAACTACACTCATTTTATTTGATGGAATGGAAGTAAATGAAGATGAAGCATTAAAACAGTATGTAGCATTTATACAGTGGGTGGGTGCCGCCCATCCGAAACAATACAGTAGCTGTATATTTTGAGATAGTCCGAGTGGACTAGGGAACTGCAAAATCATTTTTTTTCGGTCCCAGTCCCGTCCCGGTCAATTTTTTCAGTTGGTCCCGGTCTTGATAAAAGCTTAAGAATAATTCTGGTGTTTTATTCATCTACGCAAAAAAAAGTATGAAATTCACGAAAATTCTCGCTTTTTCGATAGTAAATTCAATCTATATGGATTTTCTTGAACTATAAAATAACACATTTGTCAATTCTTAATTAAAGAAAAAAAAGAAATAAGAAAATATCTAGTCTCATACTTGATAAAAAAATTGAGGAATTAGCTGACAATTTCAGTCTTGGTCCCAGTCCCGCGGGACCGGAACCATTTTGCAGTGCCCTAGGGTGGACCCCATCCAAAAAAATGAAACCTAGATAAAATACTGAACCTCTAATTTATTTTAGAAAACAAGAACGAATTGAAACTTATGTATATCATTGGCGATGGTCATATTCTTCGATTCTTAATACTGAACATCTATTAAGTTTAGTAACAATGGTTTATATATTAATGAATTGTGATCGTTGGATTAGTAATCTGTAAATAAATAATTTCAATTGAATGTTTGTTATTGAATTTTTTTCTTTAGATCAAATGATCAGAATGACCAAGCACTTGTAAACATAGAAATTTTGTTTTTTTTTGTTTTTATAAAAATTATTTTTAGTTAGCACAACGAGAAGGTTGGAGTAGATTATTGCAATTTTATTGTTCAGATATGCTTGAACAATGTCAAACAAAAGTTTTTCAATCATTATCAATAGAAATTTTATGTTCACATTGGCAAGATTTATGTTTAGAAGTATATTTTCAATTAAACTATTTTTTTTAATATTCTTATTGATTTTTTTCTTAAGTTACGTGATGCTTCGAGAAAATTATTAGAAAAAGAACTTGATCATTTACATAAAAATCAGGATGCATGGCATATTTTTATTTCTAAATGGTCGAATCTATTTAATCAATCATATAATAAAGAAACTGATGGAGCTTTATATGATCAAGATATTCGAGATATATTTCTTGATGATATTACTTGTAAATAATTCTTACTAGAAAAACAAAATATATCTGTTGATTATTTTCATATTTCAGTTAATAATGAAACAACAACTACAACAGCTAATCAACAATATAAAACACAACAATTATTATCTATTATTCTTATCGGTATTGTTGGTGCACGATATGGACAAGAAGTTGAACAATCAAAACAAGCAAATACATTAATTAAAGGATTTACTGTTGATAGTCCTGAAATGATTTTAAAATTGAGTAAGATTTTAACTACGAAATATTTCATATAGTTCCGAATGAAGTATTATTTTAAATTAAAAGGGTTTTTCAGTGTATGTTAGATGCAGAACATAGAGACTAATATTTCTGCTATTCATTCGATTGATTTAAAATTTACTATTCATTAATTATAGGTCGTGTTCTAACAAGTCTTTTATCTCCATCGAATTTCGATCATATTCCATTACATAGTTTTATTCGTCGAACAGCGATTGATTTAATTGGTCGTGGTTATACAATATGGGAACCTTATATAGATATTGGACAAGTATTATTAACATTACTTGATTTATGTGCTATTAGTGATAGTTCAACAGTAACAAGCAAGTGAGTAAACGATTTTTTTCGTAGTCTAAGGATTTGAGAGAGAGGAAAAAAAATAATTTCAGACAGCCTAATATTTATACGAGCAGGTAATATGAAATTTGAGGGTGATGGGGAATGCTTGCTTTATTTTCGTCTAGAGATAACGATCTAACAATCAATCGGAATGGAACAAGGTGTGTTGGTTTAACCTAAAAGCACGCTTTTGTTTTGTCTGTAGTATTTGTTTTGTTTGAAACCTTATTACTAATCTTGTTGGTTGTTTTGTTATTTTTTAATTTTCAAAAATATTATCTTTAATTTAGTGTTCTAAGTGGAATATTAACACCTAAAAGTGATACATGTTTAACAGCACGAACTGCATTAACATTAATTGCAACATCTCGTTCAAATGTGGTTATTATAACACTTGCACGTGAAATTGCTAAACATGCGCTGGTACAATCAGGAACAGCATCATCGTCAACAGCACGTACAGTAACACCATCACAAACATCAATAACAATTAAAAATGAACAAAAAAATGATATACTTCGTCTTATCAAAATTCTTATTGAAAAATGTCCACATGATGTTGCAGACTTAATTCTTGAAGTAAAATTTCGAAAAAAAAAATAGATTAATTTTTTAAAATATTATTATTTTTATATAATAGGTTACAGATATTACTTTAAATTGTATTGATTTAAGTACTCTTCGACATAAAGGTGTTCAAGCTGTACCAGAAACATTTGGATTATTATTAAGGTAAGACATTTAAGGTCAAGTTAAATGAGCTCCAAATTTGGAGTTTACGAGTTTCAAGTTCTTCGACAAATTGTAGCCACGTGCTTTTTTTTCTTGAGCATCATTAGTCGACTCAGCACAGTTCAGAGTATCTGTTAGAACAATCAACAACAGATGATTACAGTTTCCAGGTAGAGTTTTTCACGAAAACTTAGACATCCGTGAACTCTTGATTTGAAGCACATTTAACTTAACCGAAATTTAATCTACGTAAAACAATTTACCAAAAAATTCTCGCTTTAGATATCCGATGGTGACCTTTTGTCATGAATCACCAAAATTATGTGTTGGTACTAAAACTGGTGTTCTTGCTTTATATGATTTAAAAACACCAAAATATCAAGTAAATATTTAATTTTTTAAATACAATATTTTCGTTTTCGTTTTCTTCTCAAAGCCATTTCAAGCTCATCCAAAAAATGAAACAATTACATGTATAGAATTTTCACCGGATGGAAAATATCTTGCTTCATATTCCGCTTCCGCAGAAATATTATATTTTTGGCAAGTAAGTTCTTTTTTTGTCATTGATTTATACGGTTTTTCGCAAATATTTATTTTTTATTTAGACATCGGCAAATACATTTTTTGGTTCATCAAATACGATTCATCTTGTATCGAGACATGCCGCTCAACAACGTGATCGTTCAATTTCACCACCAACGAAAAAAGTTGATCTTAATTGGACTGATCGTACGACTGTTCGAATGTATTGGCATGCTGATAAGAGCGAAAAGAAATTTACAGTATAAATAAAGTTCGATCAAAAAACAGTGACATAGATTCCCTACTTTTCCTTTTTTTATATTGTACTCGTCAATGTTGTGCAATAGCTTATAAATTTTAACGAACAAATATATACTAATTTATTAATCAAAGAGAATTATTTTTTTCGAAAAAATTCAAATTAAATGAACTATTAGCTGAAATTTGAAGAAAACAAATCGTATGATTATATTAACATTATCATATTTAGTAGAATCTTTGTATAGAAATCAAAAAAGACAGTACTCGTATGTACTCAAGATTAAAATATTTAATCATCAATAGACATTATAATATGATTATGAATGAATTGAGTTCGATTAATAATAACATTATTTTAATATGTATGCAAATCATGCATTAGAAACATTAATGCAAACACTATGTATGCCTATAGGCAATGCTTTTTAGAAACAACGTATATGTATAAGATTTCTCAACAAGAAAACAAAGTAACATATGTCATTTAAACATAATCTAGACAAACAATTGAAAGGAAGGAATACTTCCGGATGTTTTTGCTTCAATACGGAATAGAATCTATTTATACACCTTGAATCCTATAAATGAGATAGAATTAGATATTTTCTATTCATTCTTCGGTACAAAGATAAGTTACAGAATTCTGTTATCAAGATTTATATTTCAGCATCTCAGAGAATCTTGTCCACAATATATCATCATTTTCTTTTTGATGTGTTGATACAAATGTTTGCAAAAGAATATTAATATAACTTTTTATGATTAATATTAGTCTAACTTGATTGATATCAGTTAGTGGAAACATAAATTACAATAAATATGTCGTCGTTTCAGTAGCTTTCGAATCATTTTAAATTGTTAGCTGATAGAATTCATCGCCTTATTCGATTCCGGATATAGAAAAATATTTTCAACTAGTTTATTCTAAAATATACATTTAAGAACGATCACATGATATTTTGATTATCTCATTCTTTTTTCCATTATCTTCTAGACTGGAATAGATCTGTAATCTGTATTTATCACGTAGAATATCAATTTAGCCTTTAAACATAAAATATACGATCAATTCTGGTTCATATCAAATCATTTCTAGATATTCGAAAAATATATTTTTTAAATAAATATTAATTTTATCTATTTAATCATAGATAAAGCACATTAGATTTTTTTCATGTATATTCTTTTAAACATCTGCTAGACATATATCTTGTAGAAACAATCAATTGATTTATTGATAAATATAACATTCCTCTATGTTGTTATCATTCTATTGAACAAAAACAGTCCGAGTATAAAATCAGTCACAGTTGAACAATGTCTTTTTTCCATCTCATGTATTTTGATCACTTACACATGTGTATACTTCTATATAAAAGAAAACGATGCTCTGCTGATTCTTCTGTATAAGCAGACAAGCCCTAGAGAGAGAGAAAAGAAAAGAATTGCAATTAGATGCACATTCATACTGGCATGTCCTCCTATAGATTGAGGCAAGCCAAAATGTATTTTCTTTTTTTTTTGTTTCTTCTCTCATCATCGGACAGTATCTTTCTATAGACTAAAAAAATAAATCATCATCTATCAACGTTACATTGATGGTCATCATAATAATAATAGGAGGAGAATGAAAGAAACAGCATCACATCACAATAGATATCTCATATAGATATACATATATATACATAGAAGTACACACGCATATATATACAGTTCCAACAGTGGTCATATTGACCTCTTTGTACCATTACTTGAAAGATGCTGCTCGTTATAATGATTACCACTCTTTTAGCAATAATGAAAAATGTGTATACAAGTAAAATACTGTTTGACCTATTTGAAAGAAAAATTACTTATTAATTTTTTTTATATATAGATGATATTAAAACAACTTCACCTGTATCAATTATTTTCGATGGATTTATATTACAAAAAGTATGAGACTTGTAAATAGTTTATTTAGTTAATTGATTATTTCTTTTTATATTAGTGGATTGAACAATCATTATGGAATCAAACAAGAGCGTCAATTGTTCGTAATTTAAATGAATATTGTAAAAAAGATTTTCGTTGTGATGCTGAGTAAATACATCAAAAAATATCTTCTCTTATAAATTTTTTGTTTTTAAAATAGATATGGAAATGCTAATGTTCATTTACTTAATGCTGTTCAATATGGTGCATCGTCTATTCGTTTAAATATTACAGCTGATAAACCTATTCTTCCTTTCAATACAAAAATAGGAAACTCACCAGTATCATATAATTATACAGCACTTTTAACAGGTTAAAAATTTAAAGAAAAAACAAACAATATTAAATATTTTCTTTAGGAGCACTTCTTCGAACTAAAATTGATATTGAACGTTTGCATGATAAATCATTAATACATTCATCGACCTATTCAAATTCGATCAGTAGTCGAACAAGTCGATTATTGTTCGTTCTGCTAGGTATTTTTCTAGTTGCGGTGGTATTTGGTTTAACTGTATTATTCTTTCAACGAATGTATGTAGAAATTATTGAAGGAAATTTTCCGATTATTCTATGTTTTATTTTAGTCGTCATCATAGTTATAGAAAATTACTTAAAACTCCACGTATCTATCAAACAACACAAGATGAACCATTAACTGATTCACCATCAACAGCTGTCTTACATGAATAGAGAAGAACTGCTTTTTTGTCTGACTATATATTCATTTTATCAAATAAAAGAAATCGATGAACTTATAAGATATTAATATATTATCAATGGTTATGATTAAGCTTTTGTTCGTTTTTTTTGTTCAAGAATAAATGTATAATTAGTTTGCGTGTCAGATTAATATTAAGTCAAAAGTCGATATATACTTTTCATTATTAATTAGTAAGATTATACAAACATTCGAATTAATAAATAAATCTACAACCCACGGCTGGACAAGTACGAGTATTTTGTCCAACTCTGCAGCATGACAAAAAAAATATTTTCATTAGATCCGGATCGATTCATTTCGGATTGATACTTTTAAGTACAATCATGTTTTAAATATGCTATATGATTGAAATCAGATATCATTTTTTATGTCAATACTTTTATTTAGATTAAAAAAGTTAATCTTAATGCAAACGTTTAATGTCTTATTTTATATTCCATTGTTTTATACTTATCATATCAAATAGTTATTCTAATTTTCGTTCCTATTCTATAGAAAGCACAAATACTTTTTATTAACAGTTATAGTCTATGATTGCATATTCTGTAATCTTAAATACTTTTATCTACATTATATATTGTTATTCTAGTGTATATTTCATTTATTTACTATAGATCTTTCATTAGAAGTCACAAGTGTAATCAGTATGATATTTTCTTATGTAAGTTTATCTTTAAGTTACATCTAAGATGATTTTCAATGAAAAAATAATTCCTTTTAACTTTTTTTTGTTCTATATGTTACGATATTCAAAATAGATATGTTCTTTGTTAACATAATGTCATCATCAATGACAAAAAAAAGTAATAGTAATGAAAATCATAGAGATTAACACGGAATAAATGATGACAGCAAACAACCTATGTTTAACCAAATGGATTACACACGTACATGCAGAAAAAAAAATGTTGAAAGAAATAAAATAGGTGAAGGAGACAAAAAAAAAAGAAAGGTTCATTATATATTCGTTTGTCAAATAAAAATGAGAAAGAATATATAAGTAAAAAGATATCACACTTAAACAAAACAAAAACTCTCATCGGATCATCGGGCCTTGTTATAGGTAGGTATTAATGCATATACTTATTTTCAAGTATCTCATTATCATTTGTCTTTTTTGTCATTGTTCATAGTTGTTTGAATTGTTAGATATGCATCTACCATACGTTTTCGAGTCATTTCAGTCAATCGTTGAAGATCATTGTCAAGTGTCATACCTGTCGTATCGATTGGTTCAAGACATTTGATAGTTACACAACCAGAATTCCAATAATAACTCTTATTTGATTTGTCGACGTTGTATATTGGTTTATAAGATGAAAAAACAATGGGTACAATTGGTATTTGTGCTTCGATAGCGAGACGAAAGGCACCAAGTTTAAATGGAAGAAATGTTTCAGACATATTTCTTGTTCCTATTTTTTTTTGAAAATATATAAATTATATAATAAAGATTTTCTATATATATATGTGTACCTTCAGGAAAAATCCATAATCGAAGTGATTTATTTTTGATTTTTTCCATTATTTGACGCATTGTTTCTGTTGATCGTTCACGATTTTTTCTATCAATAAATTCAACACCGGCTAACCATGATGATGAACCAAATGGTCCAGCAAACATTAATTCTCTTTTTGCTAAAATAGTACAATAACGAACATATTTTGGCCAAATATGCATCATGCCAATGAAATCTAATGATGATTGATGATTAGCAACAATAACACAGGGTTTATTATTTTCTAATACATGACCATTTTCAACACGATACTTTATACCAAAGAGACGAAGTAATGGATTAAGTCCAATTGCTGCTAGACGTATATTATATGGATTGCGTGGTCGAAGTAAATATATAGGTTGTAATATAATTGCATAGAACATGACTAGACTAGCATATAAAGTATATTTAAGTTTATATAATTGTCGCTCATTGAGAACATATCGAACAATTAAATAGACGATAACACTTATCAAAATCATACCGATTATGAATAGACTAATGCTTGGCATGTTTTTTTTTAGTTTTTTAGTTTTTGTGTGTTTTAATCTAAAACAATTAAAGATCGTATTCTCTTTTATTTTCATTCAATAGCTAGATCCTATTTACATATTCAGATAACAATAATTATAAATTAGGAGAGAAAGATGGTATGTTCATTTTTAACAGAAAAACCAACAAAAAAAAAGTGAGAATGTTAAAAGTATTAAACTAAAATAGTAGATGTAGTCATGCGTGTAAAGAAAAGAAAAAAATTATTTTTTTAAAAAGTTGGATGAAAATGAGAATGTTGTTCAGATACAATCATTGTATGACATTGAGGAAAACGTTGTCGCCAATCATTTGATACGAAACAAACCGACCACATTCCAACAGGTACTAATACAAGAAATAATCCACATGAAACAATAACAAATGATAAACGATAATTAAAACGTAGTAAACGATTTAATAATATTAAAAAAAGCCAACTACTCGCTAGAGCTAATCCACTTAATTCTCTTCCTTCTTCGTGTTGTAAAAAATGATTTTTTACAACATCAACATTATTTTCATATTGATATTTAAAAAGAAGATGACAACCATATGCAATAAATAAACAAAATACAAGTGCATTCACACAAATAATAACATTCGGTAATGATCGATAATTAAATACTTCAATAGCAAGAAACATAGATGTACATATATAAATTGTTACCCATAAATACCAATCATGATCATTTAAATTAACAAAAGCAGCAAAAAGAAAAAATACACATCCTATACCATTGATTGTACGCCAAATAAATTTATTTGATGATTGATTATCATTATCATTATCAATTGTTAATAACATCTTCAATACAGAAAAAAAAATAATACAAAATGAAATTTTTTATTTTCTGTTTTTTGCTAATAAATTTTTTTTTCTCATTTCGAACAAATCTAACAAGAGCAAAAAAACACAGATTAACAAAAAAAAAATTAGACCAAATGTGTACAGAAATAGACAAGCAATAGGACTAGAGATTACGTTGAGTAGAAGAACAAAAAAAAAAAAGAGAAATGTGTACAATATTTTTACTATTTCGTAAGAAAGAGAAAAAGCGAAAGAGAAAGAGAGAGAAGAAAAAAAGAAAAAATAAATCATATTCGTTTTATTATTATTGGTTGATAAGCAATATAAGGAGAACAACGTTTGGTTGGTGATGAGCATGTCACAGTGTATTATGGCTACTAATGAAAAAATAAAGAAAGCGAACGAAGAAAGAAGCGAAAAAAAAATATAATGAAATATTAATATTAATTTAGATGATACTCGAATAATGACGAAACATATTTGAACCACCGATTAATTTCGTTTGTTGTTTCATTGCAAGTGAACCACCACGAACAGGTGAGGCAAATGATTGATTTAGATTTGTTGATGGTGTTGTTGTTGAATAAGATGATAGATTTGATGTATTAATTAATAATACTCTTGATGTATCATTAGGTGTTGATGCATATTGATGTTGTGGAACAATTGTTGATTGTGTTGGTGATACAAATATTTGTTGACATTGTATACTTGTATTATTTGTATCATTAATACCTGTTGGTAATGTTTGAAGATCGGATGAATTTGTTAAAAGATAATGACTAAGTAATTTTTTATTTAACATCAAATTTTTCTGACGTTCACGTTTTAAACTATGGCTAAATGAAAATATAAGATGATATTTATAGATTCAATATCGAACATACCGAAGAAATTCACGACTTGTTGGTAACAATGGGCTGGCAGTAGGATTGAGTAGAAGCTAAATGTAAAAGAGTACAAATATACAATACACACAAACAGAACAATATGATCTGGGCTCGTTGACACTTATTATTCAAACAAAAATCAATACTAGTCTATGACTAGCATTATAATAAGAAAGTACCACTGACCTTAGTCGGGAATCAAGTATCTGATCTCTATCAACATTCAAAGGTTGTTTTATTTCCAAAACGCATCAATTACTGTCGCACTTATTAATGACACTTTGTATAACATGATCTTCATCGACCTGCTGAGTTCTTATTTATAACAATAGAATAGAAAGACAATAATTGAATCATAAAGTAATTCTTTGTCTATAGTATTCAAAATACAATCATGTATATCACGTTTTTTTCTCATGTGATTCATTATTTAATCAAATATCAAGTTATTTGTTTTAGATATTAAATGAAAACTGTCATGAAAGAGTCAAGTTTAATACAACAGAGTATATTTATCATAGATGAGTGTGATATTCTACAGGGTAAAAGGACATTTTTCTTTATTCTTCTAAGCAATTGAAAACATAATAAAAATCGATCATCTAACAAAACACTATATAAACTAAATGTATTTTAACTCACCTTAATGTTCTACTGATCAATATCAGATATCATTCAAACTTTTTCCGTTCTATATTGATTTAAAATACTTGAAATAAACCATGGGAAAAATTATCATGTGTGTCATCAATACGATTATTCTCAATAAAAAGAATAGTTTATATATAAAAACTAGCTTATGACTAATCTCAAATAATCACTTATGATTTATTATATGATAAATAGCACTTTCGAATCCTATTATAAACACAATGGGACTTATTACGATATGAAACATTGTATGTCTATTCAAAACTAAAACTTACTTCATAGGCTGATGGTCGTTGATTCGGATCAACGTTACACATACGACCAAGTATTAATTCATTAAATTGCATAGTACAATGTGAAATAGTATGAAGATATTGAATAATATTTAATCTTAATTGTTGCCATTCATTACCTTGTTTTGGCATTTCACGATTTGTTGCACAAACATATAATGTTAAGCCTAATGAAAATATATCACATTTACCTAAATTCAATTGTTTTGAATTTGATTTTTGTAATGCTTCTAATGCTAAATAACGACTATCACCATCTTCTTCCATTGCTGACATACTTATTTGACTAACATGTCCTAAATCCGTTAATTTATAAATCATTTGATGTGTTTCATCATCATCTTCATCTTTATCGAGATTTAAATTAATTGAACGTTGACATAACATAATATTAGCTGGTTTTATATCTAAATGTGCTAAATCTTGTGCATGCATAAATGCTAATGCATCACTTATTTGATGAAGAATGTGTTTTAATTGTTGTTCATTTGTATATGTACGATTACGTCGATTTTTTTCTATAATATCATCTAATGAACCACCATTACAATATTCTAATTGAACAAAAAATCTTCCATCAGGTTCAATCCATGCTGAATGATATCGTACTAAATTTTCATGTGATATAAGTACAGCATGTGCACATGTTTCACGCCATGCCATTTGTTCATAACTTGTACCGAGAACTGGTTGTTTAGATGCTTTAATAGCATATATAATTCCATCAAGACGATTTTTACATAGATAAACATGTGAAAATTCTCCATGACCAAGTATAGATTCTTGATGAAATTCTTCATCAAATCTTCGAATAGTTAATTCACGTAAAGATGGTGAACCAGCTGGAACAATTCGACATGATTGTTGAGATTCAGTTGGAACATGTGCTGCAGCTTGTTGATCACGTTTAGCAACCAGACGTGTACGATAACGTGGAGTCGGTGTTGTAGTTGTTTTAGCGATTGGTACACATGGTGAATCAAGTTTAACACGTTTATTTTGTTCAGGATTTAATTGTGGACTAAATGGATTAGTATTTACTAAATCACCTAGAAATTTATAAATGAAAAGATTTTTTCTTTTTTTTTTACAAAAAATCTACCTTTAGATTTTGTTGTTAATTGTTCATCATGAGCAGAATTGATTGATGTTGTTAAACAAAGTGAATCATCGTGATGACGACTTCGACGTTGAACTTTGGGTGAACGAAATGTACTCTCTTGAACATAATCAAGATTTTTTCGTCGTGTACATGGTGATTGATCTGGTGTTTTAAGTGATACACGATCTACAGATGTGTCGGATTTTGCTGATGTATCTCGATTTCTTGTTGTACTTCGTTTACGTTTATTATTATTATTATTTGTTGTACTTTTTGTTGCATATTTAACTGTATAACTTGCAATTGGTTTAGTTGATACAGTACCAGATGATGGTGTATAACGAAGTTGACATGGTGATTTAAATTCATTTGATTTTGTTAAATGTGATGATATAGGTGATGATTGACACGATATTTCGGATGGTGTTTGTGATAATGTTGTTAAACGAGATAATGCTGATTCAATATTTATTGAATCATTAAAAATAAAATCTTGTTGAGATGATTGTTGACTATCATTACATGAATCATCTTGTAATGGTTGACTACAACTACCACAAGTTGATTCATCGAAAAGTATTGATGATGGTGGTAAAACTTGACTACAACTTGTATTAACGGTTAATTTAGGTGAAAATGAGAGACGAGTACGTCGATTGAATTGTGATGCTAAATAGCTACTGTCAGTGGATTGTTGACTGGCTACATCCGATTCATCCGAGTCAAAAACAGGCGGAGGAATAGGACTTGCGAACGATGACATCGTTTTACGATCTAAAAAACAAATGAATAGACAAGAACAATTAACAATGAATGAATATTCTTCGACGGACGGACAATCGTCCATAGAGAGACAAAGAAGCGCTGTGCAGCTGACCAATTAAAATTGAAATTTCTAAAAAGCGCCATCTGTATTTAATGAATAAAAGAATAAAACAATTTAAATTCTGTATATTGTTCGATTTAAGAAACATCACGTGTTATCTCATTTTTTTCGGATACAAACATCTGTGAATCATTTTAATTTGAACAAAATTTTGATCGTTTTCTTGATAACAAATTGATTAATTTATAGTAATCGATTTTCATATAATTAATAAACATTCATAGATAATAAATTTGATCTTTTCACTTTTATAAACATATACAACGAACTTCTTTAATGAAAAAAAAAACAAATCGATAAGATTCAAATGCGTATTACTTGATTTCTTTACGTTTTTTACTCTCCATCCATCTTCGTTTCGTTCGCTATCATCTCCCCGTATCTTACTTATGTTACCCTGCTGTTACGTCTTTTCATTGACTTCTTCTTTTTTCGTATATCTATTATTATATCTATTCTTCTCATTCTTGTTTCACTTTAGCCTGAAGGTAGCACAACGTAAGATATCAAAAAA